CGTCAACTATCCTCCGTAAGCTATTCGGTAGTGTAGTCAGTTGTTAGAATTCTGTATGATGTTGAATATCTTTTGAGTTACGCTGTAGTGTTAAATAAGTTCCAATAACGTTTCTCTGCCCAGGCTATTAACGCTTTCTCACAGTCCAGGAATTTGATATAGCCTCTCTATGGTTATTACAATTGCCAAACCCAGATAAAGGAGAGTTGAGCAAGGGGTCAGTAACCCCATTCCGCAGAAAACAAATTTGTTAAAAAGATATTAACCAGAAAAAATCACTTAAGCCATTTAATCTTTAATGCTCATAATAATATAAAATTATTCTAAATATATGATAAGACAACTTGAATGAACTCTCCTATTCAATATTTGTAGCTGTTTGTAATTACTGATTGACAGGTATTGGAGTAACAGATGTTTATTGATGGAGGAATTCATAGTAAACCCAAATGACCAACAAGTCCCAATCATCTTTTAATAGGCTTCAGCATGTAACATTTAAATGCCCCTATTAACCGTACAAAACTGCCTTAGAATATGTTATGGTTTCCCGATTAACAACAAGTACAAAATTAAAACTGCATTGTAGTTAAATTTTATTATTATATTATTCGTTATACACCTTTTTGATATTCTTTACTTCAGAGATGATTATATTCTAAATCAGTATTCGCTTAAAATTCAATGTTTAATCTATCAATAAATTAATCATAAAGTTATTTTAAAAAAACATTTTCTTATGCTTTAGTGTGGACCTGAGTGCCTTAAAAAAAAACTAAACGAATAAAATTTATGTATGGGTAGATTTTAGTTGCATTTCTTATCGACCTTAACATTACTTTCACGGACTTTAAACAAAATAATGCTTTGAAGTGAATGCCATTTTTCATATAAATAAACTTTATAACCGATTTATTTGAACATGCTTTACTGACTGGAATATTAGTTATGATGAATTAAGTGGATTTTCAGTGGTAAATACCTTTTAAAATGTAATCATTTCAAGAAACATAATAAAGTATTTAATGTTATAGAGTTTTTAGTAGCAATCGATAGTGAGACTGAGATGATATAGTTTATCAGTGGATTCCGTGGCAAATAAGAAATATCATCTTGGTTTATTATTTTCAAACAAAAAAATCTGTATTTGTTAGACTAATCAAAGTTCGAATTGAGACAATTTAGATGTAAATGATACTGATTGGTTTTTCATTGATGTTATCAGTATAAGTTATTATTATGAATATTACTGTGGTACATGCTGCTCTTACTATGGTCTATAGTATCCAATGGTGTAGTCCAGAATTTATTGTTGCAGAGAATAGTGTCGAATTCGGAGAGATGGTGTGAACAAGATATTCTAAAGACGAGAAGGCATATAAAAGAAGACAACCAATAATTCGCTTGTTTTCCAGATGAAAGCTTGAAGAGTAAGTATATATATTTTGCTAGTAAACTGCACCTTCTTTGAGTAAATCACTTAGTACATTTGATCTTAACAACTTCGTCCATCGCATTACTGCTATCAATAATAATAATAATAATAATAGCACTAATATTAGTATTGAGAAGTATGAGAATACTGATAAGCTGAACATAAATTTAGCAGAACTACTGAAGTGAACAGTGATAATAATAATAATAATAATAACAGTTTTACTGTGTGATTAATATATACTAACAACAAAGCATATATTTATAACGTATATAAAAGTTTAGACGATAGATACAGTTTTTGAAAAACTTTCCTCCTCTCAATTTTACATTTTGGCTTATGATTTCCACTGGAAATCAATCGAAATTGCAGCTATAACTTGAAAAAAAGTGTTGAAACACATCCAATGAAGCCACAAACAACTAGTTTGTAGTTTTACTTGGAATAAAAATTAAAAAAAACCACTAATTCAATGATGGGTTTTTTTTTAGCACAAACAATAAATAAAATGTGAACGATCAGGTTTGCTCAATAATGTCAAATTAGTTAGTTATTATTTAAATAACTATTAACAAACTTTTTTTATCTTAAATCTTTCCAGACGTCATATTACTGCATAGTAGGCAGATCAATTTTTTGTCTTGGCAAATCTATACAACTAATCTAATTGTTAATCTCATAATGCGTTTTTAATGTAAACTTCACATACATAATAGGAAATATGTTGTCCTGTAAATCAATACATACATTATTATAACTATCCATTTATCATTCATAGACAAAAAGTGCCTTCTACATTCAAATAAAATGAAATCAGCTAAATACGTACAAAAAACCAATAAGGTCCCGTTTTATCTGATAGCCTTCAAACTAGTTGTATGTTCTTTAAGAGATCATCATTAGTTGATTTCCGTTAAACACTTTTTGATGAACACACAAATGTTTGTATACTTGTCTGAATTATGTATTTTTTTATGGCATTCTTGAATATGGAAGATTCTCACCATGAATAAATGATCTTAGTAGTCCGTTTAATTGTAATATGCTCATTAAGAAACTGATTATTTAAATGAAAAATTTTATCACTATCTAATTGCAGCCGGTCTTTTCTTCTTTTCAGTGATCACTGAGGTAAAATTAATCCATCATATACATTTTCATTCGGGCTCAAAAATCAGTCAGCATTTTAGTTTGTGCACTGGCTGAATAATATCGTCCGGCTGCTTAAACAAAAGCAGGTTTTGAAAGCGAGCAAGAGAGAATGTAATCTCTAGTATGCATGATTCCTTAGTCGAATGCTTTTACTTTAGAGACACTGCATTAATGAATATTAAAAGTAGTTTTGCAATAAACTTAATTACCACGAACAGATGAATATATATGACTTTGAATTACACTCTAACTATGTTGGTCAGTGATACTATTCTCGTTTAACTAAAGTGAATTATCTGAAGAAGCGTTTGAACATACAACTAGTGGTTCAGAAGTATTGATTTTTGAGGTAAACAATTAAATCAGTTCAAGTAGAAGTGGACTTGTTAATCCTATTATTAATATTTTAAAACAATTAATCCCTTTTATAAATTTTGATAGAACAATGAGAAGACGTACTTATATAGCGCAAATACATCATATTTTATAGATCAATTACGTCTCTTCACTGTTCTATCAATATATTGATATTTTTATTGAAATTTGATTAGTCCTGATTGGTATATACGCATCCTGTGCGGGTTTCCTCGATATAGCCACAATCGCAAATTTAGGATATATGGAATGTGGCAAGCCACGGAATATATCGCGCTCATTCGGGATTCGTCAGCTGAGTTAATGTTTACTCTAAAACTAAAATCCATTTATTCTAACTATTTCAATGCTAAAATAACAAATTCTACTTCAAATTTTATGCAACTAAACGTAAATAACAGTGATGGATATTCTACAGTTTGGCCTGAGGAAAGTAAGACCTTTTTAATCTAGATTCGTTTATTCACTTATTAATATATGAAATAAAATTAGAGATAAATTTACAATTGCTTTTTGAAATTTTCAGGAAAGTATCTATGGCATTTATTTTCGACGGTGAATTTTCCTAACATATTGAATCAGATGAGTTCTAGTAAATAGAAGAGGCTATTATTTATTATATAGACTTTATCATCCTAAACTAACTATAATGCAGTTGATTCATTTACCTTAATTCCATGACCTCAACATTTACAAATCTGAGACGAAAAATTAGAAATTTGTCAATATAGTCAATTGTGTTCAATATTGTAATGTTCAATGTTCATTGTCTTATTATTTGACACTGAGAAAATGTTTTTACTTTATCGTTATTAAATTCAAAGCAGCAGAAGTTTAGATTATCTCTGACATACCTTACTTAAGAGTTCCATGCTTCCGGATAACAATAATAATAATAACAATAGTAATAACACAAATTAGTGTACACTGGTATTTGTCTTCATATCAATATTAAAATCGTTAAAGGATGATTTTCAATTAGCATAAAAAACGTTCACTTGGAATGAATTACCATTTAGTGATTTATTTAAAAACTTGTAAGATAGTTTTATATTTTAATGTGTAGTACTAGTAAAAATTTGATTGAAATCTGTTTGTAGTGGAAAAGCCTTAAAGACAATATAGTGAGTATTATTGACAGTAATGCATTGTATGTATGTATGTATGAAGTAACAGAACAATTAGAAACTAATGTATTTAGCACATTTCAATGTTATTTGGGGATGGCTTAAACAGTTATTATTTATAAATTCAATGAAATATTGGTTTATTTTTTCGAATTTCAATAAAATCTGGTTTTGTCATCAGTGAATGAATTTTCTGAATCGACTGAGGACTGATTCAACTATTAAGATATAACTGAATATATATTCATCTACGACTGATTGGGATAACTATCACTGTATACCATGAGTTGATTTCAGTAAAAAAATGTTGGCTTTTTGATTCCGATCTAGAAACACAATTAGATCTTACTGGACCAGAGATTTAAAGAATTTTGATTTTATTGTGACTTCGGGGTGCGATTCTCTATACGCTGATGAGTGATCTCAATTTAAAACAAAATGTCATTATTTGGTACAATTTATTTTTTAATAATCTTTCACCTGTCTACTATCTAGCGAAACCACAGCCAAGGGAGAACGGGCTTGACCAAATTAGCAAGGAAAGAAGACTCTGTTAAGACTGACTGTAGTCCAATTTTTTAAAGAGACATAATAGATATAGTATAGGTGGTAGATGGGTGCTTCGATGCTCAGCGCAAATGAAATACCACTGCTATCATTCTATCTTCACTCACCCAATGAAACAGAATAATCAGGATTAGTATTGAAAAGAATTGTTTTTGTTTCAGAACTATTGTTCTCTATGGTGCTCACTTTAGTGGTGAAGAACTTTGCATTACCAGTGTCAAATAGGTGCACCGATCATATTTAGTCATAATAACGTATAGATGACACATGATGCACAAATATAAATATACTTATAATTACCACTAACTTAACAAGAATATTACTTATAGTTCATATTTACTCACCTTTGAATTTCTTGCATTAGATTAGTAGTTGTAGAAGAGACATGACAATCTTGTGTTTCTTGTGATGTATCTAGAAGTTGATGATGGCTAGGAGAAATTCCATTGTTTGTTCTACCTCCACGTAGTCTTACATTATTATGCGTTGAATGATGATGTTGATGATGATGACCTAAAGATGTATTGATTGTTCTTCCATGATTATTACTATTATTATTATTAGTAGTAGTAATAGTATTATTAACGGTAGTGTTTATTGGTGAAGAACATCTTCGTCGTGGCATAACTAAGCGATGAATATTGGGAATTGTTAATGATAATTAAAAACTGATTACTTTCCGAGTACAATGGAACATCAATCAAATAGTGTATAACAGTGAACTATAAATAGATTAGAACCAATGATGCAATAAATAAACGAAAGTCAATAGATGATTCTGTTTTTTTTCTTCTGTCAGCTTTGTAATATATTCCCATACAGAATTTTGTAAAAGCATTACATTACATATCACATATATATATTAGCACATTCTCAATGTAAAGAAATTACAATATATATACATATACATATACAATGTCGTATGTAAAAATCCGCACTCACATCAAACAATTATACAGTACTGTCCACAAATAGTTCATTTCGATATTGTTTATTTTCAACAATATGTAGAAGACAAAAAGAAAAATAAAGAAAACTCTCTAGACATTTCGTAGAAATTTCTTAAATATTATTTGTTGTTATCGTTGTGATTATTATTATTATTGTTATTTACGGATATAATGTTGTTTTTTTTTCTGTTATTATTATTATTATCCCCATCTATTTCCGTTCGTTATTTTCTCTATATGCTTTAAGCGAAGTGAAGCGATTTAAGAGAAAATACACCATCTATCCGTCAATCATTGGATTGTTCATTGAAGAAAGAGAATGAAAAAAGAAAAAAAAACAATTCAAGAGAGAGGGGGCTTGAATACACACACACACACACACACACGTACATTATATTGCTATTTCACAAGAATGAAGATGTGATCACTAGAAAATGTTCTTACCTGGGGTTGAGAATTGCGTTTAACAAATGGCACAGTAGAGAGATTTATTGTAAGCGCGCATACATATATATATATATATATATGTATTATATCTTATGATAAAAGTTTGATTTCTATTTAAGCCACACCGACGCATAGATTATTAATTTTGATTGGCTACAATCGAATTAAAAATGGTTAGAGAAATACTTATCTCTCTCTCTTTATCTTCATACTTCATTGTAATTGGTTGTGATAAATATGCAGTAGTAATATTTCAGCAACAACAAAAAACTGAATCAACTGTCAATCATAAGCAGTAGTAGTATTAGTAGTAGTAGTAGTAGTAGTAGTACAACATTATAGGTCGCCCAACTGATCTTTCTTCTTACAAATTATATTATTATGCATGCCATAGAATTATTCATTCATCTAAGCAAACATGCACATTGAACAAGCATGAACAACAACAAAAAAAAAACACAAATCTGTCTAGCATCTAGGCTAAGCATACACTAATATATTATCTATTTAAAATTTACTTATGCACCCAAATATTATTATTATTATTATTATTGTTACTATTATTGTGATACATAAGTGTATCTGTTCACATTTGTGTGAATGTGTGTTTACTTTCAACCAGTATACTGGTAAGATGTAAAAATGGTGTATGTAGTAATCTCAACAGAAATGCTTTACTGTAATTTAAAACTTTTTTCCCGCCCATAGTATTTTGAGATTAGCTCTTAAAAAAAATTGATCGTGAATGAAATTCCATTGTACAGTTTCAAGTGCCAAACTAATAAATATATACACATATGTAGGTAGATAGATAGATAGATAGATAGAAATTAAGATTCTCTGCATGTGATTTATGCCTCATTTAATTGCATTACACACACAGATACAGATATTTTTAGTAATTTGATCTATAAAATGTCTATGATTTACATCATGTTGAGGTATTGAAATGAATAGAAAAAAAAGCAACTAATATTTTGTGATTTGTTTTATTTTCAAGTTCTATTTTCAATTTAAATACATTTAAACAATAAAACAAGGGAAAAAAATTGTATTTTCTGTTGTTACTAAAGAAAGTATATTCTATGCAGTTTCTTATATTCACATACTTGAACCAAATTAATATTTTGCCAATATTTAGTTGACACATAATTTTTAGCATTCTATTCTTGGAAATATTTTACTTAAAATAAAAACAAAAGTTGAAATTCATTTTGAAATGGTTTAGGATTATCAATATGTTGTTTGAAGAAAACAGTACTACTGTTCGAGTATGAACATCAACTCTGAGATGTAGATGCATCCAGCCAACGAGTCCCAAATCGAGATTCGATTGCTAAACACATCGCATCTAGTCTGTGTATTAGTGAAAAGTTAACAACGTTGAAGCATTATCTCTAAAGTGTCATAATGCCTACTTAATTGAAGTTATCATTCATTTTCGTAAACTAAAACAATTAGCCTGAATTATGTATGAAAGGGATAGACAACAGATATATAATTTTCTGAAACATGAAGAATTGTTTCCAAGAATGTAACATGTTAAACTTTTTGAATTAAAAAATTCTCCAGAGGGATTCTATTCCAGTGGATTATATGAAGAATCTATCAATGTTATTTATGAATTTGGTCTCAAGCTGCATGGTTTTATAGCACAACTTACTGATAACGTTATTGTTAATATGAATATTGTGTAAAAGGAAAACGAATTGTCGATTCTGCGATTGAACTTGGACTTATGAACTATAGGATTTGAGTAGAGTATTGAAATCATGAATCAATCAATCATTGTTATACCATCATTCGAAACCTGAAAGCACTGAATGGCCATTTTAGTGGAACTTCAGTAAAGAGAATTCCAAATTCGAATGCCATAGTTATGCTGGTACTGTCACAGTTCAGTTGACTGAATCTGATGATGAAAATGAACTTTGCACATTATAGAATAAATAAGAATGAACTAAATCAAATTGTTGAGGATTTAATTTAAACCTACCACACACATACAATACAATAATTTTGACCTCAAGTTGAACCCTTTATTTTTTATAAAATATAATAAGACATCATGTTTGTAGTTTTTCTGTTCACAGTTAACCACGCTAGTTTCAACTGTTATTTATTCAATGAAAATCACATTAAATTAATATTTTTCTAATAAATTTAATTAATTCACTCTAACTACTAATTTTTCACTTATTGATAATTTTGTTTTTATTCATTTATTTTAAGTTATTATTACTAAAATTTATTTAATCTGTAAAAGTCCAACACTATTTATATTAAGCATTTATGACATTTTAAAAAAAAATTTTATAGAATTATAAATTATTTATTTGTTTATTTATTACTATTATTATTATTATTATTATGATTATTTATCATGATTATTGCATGAGACGTTGATATGAAATTTATCAAACAAAAAAACGAAACCATTGAACACGTATCAACATGTTATAAGATATTGGAAAGTTACCATGATAATATTGCAGAATATCATCCAGTAAATAAACTAACTGTTTTCTCTAGGGTAGACTGTTTTTGATGTGCATGCAATTACGTGGTAGAAGTAGTTATAGCAGTCAAAGTTTTGAGTTACGATCGTTCGGAGAGGTTGGCAGAGTATCTGATATGCAGGAAAAGTGATATTATTTGTGCTCATTACAGTTATTTTTATATGTTCAATGCAAATTCAAAGTTTAGTGTTCAGGGTACATAAATCATCATTTAGTTAATATACATCAGTGATTTTAATTATAAGGTAGAAGAATCATGTAGAATTTTTTAGAAAAGTGTAACACTACAGTTTTGTTTTAGTTTCAGACGTTTAGCAACTCACAAGAATGACAAAGTCCGTAGTCTGCATGTCTCATGTAGAACACAGTAGTTTTAGACCATTTTATGTGAAGCTGACAACCTATGCTTCCAGGCGCATTAAGTTCACTTTGTGAACTAGTCGTCATCCATTTCTGACAATGATCATAGACTCTCATTGAGATTTTGGAGAAATTCAATGGACAGCTAGTCATTAATAAGTAAAAGATTATTTAAATGGGTATAATTTGGAGATTTATCCGATTTACAATCAGATCGTCCTATGAACTTTAGTCATTTGGAGATGCATTAGGAATTTGCATTACGCGGTTGTGAAGATTGTTAAGTCACACATTTTTGAAACCATGAATCGATCATTATTAGACCATCATTAGAAACTGGGAAGTACTGGACGTCCGTTTCATCCTGGTATGGGACTCCTCCGCAGTGCGCATTAGGAATTGCCAAAAGCGAAAGATAACAGTTTCGCGCTAGAGCTTATCTAGGACTATACATACTACTGAACTTAAGACCTAAAAATCTCACAGTTATTGAGATATAAACTAGTTGATTAATTTTAATTAGTACTGTTCAAAACTATCGATCTTACAAAATTATCAACTTTAGTCGATAAATTGTCATTATTTTATACTTAATTTAAATTCATGGACAGAAATGAAGCAATCTACGTAGAAATTATAGTTAAGCAAACTTCAATTGTGGTGTAGCTTATATCAGTTATTTTGTGAATACTAGTTTCCGAATGGATTTTTTAAGTTTTCTGAAGGCGGGGCTATTGATAACTGTTTAAGCAACCGATAGAGGACATTTATACTATATCAAGAAAAAAATGTCAGATGAGAGAAGGTATGTCAGGCTAAAATAAGGAGCTAGAAAAATCACTTATTTACTAATTGATCAAAGCTGAATTGGTAAATTACCAAAGCCTTCGCTATGAAAAAATTTCTTATTCAACTTCCGCCAACTTTGTTTAGTTATGAATAAAGATTGTGGGAAAGTCAACTTATCAGAACTTTCTAACATATACAGAAATGGAAAGACTAAATGATTTACGTCCAACTTTGGATAATCATGTTACATAGTCTTCGCATGTGTTTGGAAAGATCATATTTTGTATGGCTATAATAACGTGCTTCTCAGGACCGAGTAGATTGATTCATAAATTTAGTAGATTTCTCAGTCATTCTGTTTCCATTAATCTATAAATACATTTCTTACGAGACAACTTACATTTACCATCATTATCATTAAAGAAGCAACAAGTCATATAAATTATACGTGAATCGATTGTTAACAAAATTGGTAAATTGATAACAGGTTCTGATGCTGGATTGTGTTTGTTTAAACTTTACATACATTTGCTGTTTTTTTTTTTGAAAAAAGTGCTAGACAGAATAGTATCCAGATAAACATAGAAATATATTCATATATATATATATATATATAGTGGTTTTTTTCT